GTGTGGCTTATAATAATAATAATAATAATAATAATAATAATAATAATAATAATAATAACAACAACAAACAAATTCCATTTGTTTCTCAAAAAGTAATTCAAAGACAAAGGATTGTACAGTATATTATCCAAGTTTTTTGAGTAAAATTTTCTCTTATGAACAACAAATCTGAAGATTTTGATTTGGGAGCAGTAATGCTGTGTGCTGTAACATGTCTTCAGTTCAAAATCATGTTTATGGGCAATTCTTATAAAATTAGGAAAGGTCATGAAGAATAAAGGAGAAAATATTAACTATGTTTTTCAAGCTGCTAAAAAGACCCCAGTACAGCAGGACCACAAACAGAAGGTCCAGCATGACAAAGACACACTGAATCATCCCTCCTGGTGTCTGCTAGAATCCAAGTTCTCAGCCTCGGCTTGAAATCCAAGGGAGAAGTGTGAGCTGCTGGCCAAAGCATGAGGAAACGGCAGAGGAATGGAGAGTGAAAAGAGACCAACACTAGAGGAAAAGTCGCATTTTGAAGTTGGCCAACAGAGAAGTTTTGATTCAAGTCTCCCACATCTGTCTGCTGCCTCGTGCAAGAATCCTGGAATCCCCCACCCCCTCATCATCACCGTGTCACAAACACACACACACAAATGTAGACTCGATTTCCAATCCACCGGCACAGGGCATGAAAACAAACATTGTCAAGGAAGCTCTTAAGCCAAGTGGCAGATAAGCATGGCTGCTAACTGAACATGAACATACACACATGTGCACACAAAGTCATATACTTGGAGCAGAAGCTAAGGCCATGAACTGACACTGACCTAGTTTCCAAAGGGGCAATGATAAAGAGAGAGCGGAAAGATGAAGATTTGGAAGAGGTAAAGAAACTCCAGGGCATGTTGTGCTTGAGGACACAGTGTGTTATGCATGTGAGTGAGTGTGTATGTGTGTGTGTGTGTGTGTGTGTGTGTATTTCCGCTCAGAGAGGCCTGCCAACAGCCAATATTCCACACACCCATCAGAGCCGCGAAGCAGGGGTAGAGGGCTGAGGCCTGAGAGAAGATGGAGGTAAAAGCTAGAAGTAGAGCACTGCTGAGGAGTGTATCGATCACTGTGGGGGTTACATACACTCATCTATTCTGCACTGACACAACAGCAACTTACTGTATACTCATTTAACAGAGACCTTTGGCTCGCTCCTCTCCACAGCATGCCCTCACTGGTTCCTGACTTGTGGAAACAGTAAACAGAACTAGGCACAAAAACTTTGTTTGTGTGCATTTGTTTGCAGACCTTACATCTCTCTGTCTCTAGAGGAACATACATGTAGATTTTGGCATGCCAGTAACTGCTGCAACACAACCCAGTCAGTGGCCGTGTCTTGTTTTGTTTCCTCCCAGATTTGAACTCTGTGTGACTCTGATAACATTCAAAAGAGGAACAATTTCATGCTCTCATACTCTGGGCACTTTTTACGACTTTAATTGTTCCATTAAGGCGCTTCAGGGTCCACTTTGTCATATGTGCAATGTGTGTACATGTGAGTGTGTGTGTGTGTGTGTGTGTGTGTGTGTGTGTGTGTGTGTGTGTGTGTGTGTGTGTGTGTGTGTGTGTGTGTGTGTGTGCGTGTGTGTGTGTGTGTGTGTGTGTGTCTGTGTGTGTATGTGTGTGTGGTGTGTGTGTGTATGTGTGTGTGCGTGTGTGCGCGCGCATGCGTGTGTGTGTGTGTTTATAGTTAATGTCCTCAGGCTTATCAGTACTCAAGTTTATTCTATAAAGGAATTCAAAGAGTTCTGGCTTTTTAATGCTCTGGATCTGAACCAAAGCCACAGAACCTGAAGATTATACTAAATGTTTATCATTCCTGTTTCAGAGGCATGTCATGTTACTGGCTGGGTTCAAGGAATGCACACACATGTACTAACAAATGCACACACAACACGTGGTTGCATAGATTCAGAGTCTACTGTATCTGTTCAGCTGCTGACTTTTGATTTCTCAGAGCCTCTAATAAGCCATCTGCTGAACAAATGATGTTTGTCCTGAAAGCTGAAAACCTCTCAATGTCTTATTGTGGAAGTGGAAAGGAGGACTGTAATAAGGTCTGCATTTATTACCGGCGCTGATGACTTTATCAGTGATTTAATTAAATTAGATTATCATAAAATTTAGTGGTGGCTACTGGACATTAGTCAGTGACTTTAATCCTTTGTTTTTATGATTACAAAAGTTATATAATGGCTAGAGATATTATAAGTATGGATGAAACTAATATTTGTTTTAATTATCGCTACATCAGAAGATTATTTTCTCAAATAACTGATAAATCTTTTAATCCCTAATATGTCAGAAAACAGTAAAACTCAATTTCCCCCTCACGTTCCTGAGAAGCTGCACCTCTCTCTTTCTCTCATTGTAAGTGAGTTTTGTACGATGTGTAATTTATAAGTGTTTGTTAAGTTTTATTATCTGTTTTTGTATGGACGTATAAGACAGGTAGACACACATAATTTCCCAAAACATAGAAAATCCAAATAGACAATTACACTTCAAAAATAGAAGTTTGAATAAATCTTTGTTACTTTTTAAAAAACTTACTTAATGCAGGCAATTAAAAGGTCCTTTGGCACTGAACACATAATGTATTGATAGCTTAAATGTTATATATAAATATTCACAGTGATCTCTTTGAGTTCATGAAAGACGTGATGATCATAAAATTCATATTAAACCAGAAGAAATTATGCTTCGTTTGCTTTTTATTCTAGACAAACATTAGCGTCATGTTAATACCCCTAATCCCTTAACTGTTTTATAGGAACTGGACAACAACATAAACTGGTTAACTTGCGAAAGTAGTTTAGTAAGTGAGTGATGTGAGAATTGATAAAAAATGTATCCCAGCTTATGTTCTTCACAAAACTACTTATACAGTAATACCACACAGGTTTCCAGCTGCTGTTTTGACATTAATTCGGGGTCACAGGTCAAACAGTGATCTCACAGGTTTGACAACATGTGACCATCAGCAGGCCTCACAAATCTGAAAGAATGGCATCACATACTCGGTCACTGCTGTTCTTTGTGAGTTGTTTTGGGTGAGGTCTGTGTGACTCAGAGAAAAAAAGAAGCAGGATGGTCTGGTTTAAACAAAGCACTTAATTTCCCACTTATGATATCTTTCATGTTATTAGATGATAGTTATATCTGATTTTTAGTTTGGTGAGATACACTTTCAGTTTCTGTTTGTTTGTTGACTGAAACAGATAAGATGCAGATATCATTATCATATCTAAATTTGTGAATAAAGTGTCTAGGAAAGAGAAGCGATACAATTTCAAGCATGTTCATTTCCTGTTCTTTGTAACAAACCAGAGCCCTCTTTCTGACACCCCAAAAGTCAAGGATTGTGGGAAGTTCTGTGATTACATTTGACAGAATTATCTGAACAGAAAGGCTTTAAGTGTTGTTTTTCTTTAGATACCCTATCAGTGTTTATCTTTCTTTATATTGGTCCTTAGCAGAGCTGCTTCTTTCCCCATCAGCTGCCAGTGGTTCCCTGATCTCAGTCTAACAAGCTGTGCTAAGGGTGATTAATGTGGGCGAGACCCTCCAAGCCTCTCAGAGGACGATGAGGGCCACAGCCCGAAAGCAGTCAACTGCATACTTTCAGCACACAGTCATCTTTTACTTCACCAAAATCTGCAAGTGACAGGCTGCTGAAAACTGAGGGAGAAGTGTTGCAGAAATTATTATAGGCTGTTTACTACCAGTCATTTTCACTGCTTTTTAAGACACACATCTGTTTCAAGAACACTGAACGCAATGCAGGATTGTAGTTTAAATCAGATTTTTAAAAATCTAGCAAGAGTGAGGAATCAAGAAAACATATTTTGGTCTGTGCTGAAGGGCAATAAGCTCTTAAAGTAAAGACTGATAGCACCATCTTGTGGCTTAAAGAATTGGGGCAGCAAAAAAGACTATTACTTGATTTCCTCAGTGATTATTTTTCCAGGTGTGGGCTCAAATGAAGAAACTCAAGCCATAGTAAGTAAGCTTTATGAATTTCAAACCATGTATTTTCAGTAATTAGCCAGATGTTACTTTTAAAACCACTATTAGAAAGAGTATTTGAAATAACAAACTGGAATATAAAATAATAAAAATTATAATTACAATTTTATACAACATATCTGGTAATCACAGAAATAATTGAATTTTATTGACTGCGTTTAGTATTGGCAGTACTGACAGTGATTTCTATAGCCTATGTTAGGTGTCAAAATTCAACTCAATTCAATTCATTTTGCTTTTTACCGTGCACATGTAGGTTATTAAAAATTGAGTTTAGTAGATTACTGTACAATACAGAATGTTCAATAATGTGCACAGTAAATAAGCTAAGATGTTTTTTGAACAGAGTAATCCAGTTGTGATACTCTATGTGACATTTGTTTGTTCACTGGCAGATCTTCTGCTGTTTTGTCAAGAGATGTTTGCCTGTACCAAGCCTAACTCTTTATGTTGGACTGCAAAGTCTAAGAGTGGGATTATTTCTACAGTGCAAGGAATTCCACAGCCTCAGCATAAATAATGTTTTCGTCTCACATGAGCAAAAATCCATAATTAACAATCAAGACCAAATGTGGAGCTCAAAGAAACTCTTCAAGGTTCCATGGAGCAGCCAGAACCTGGAGAACCACAACTGTGTCCACAACTCTTACCAGAGGCTCTTCACTTGATGTCTCTTTGGTTGTATTTAATATGTTAAATGTAAAACAAAACTATAAAATCAACTCTTCCTCTTCTTTGTGCAGCACAATGCTCTGAGCTCTGAGATTGACTGATAAACACTCCAGGAAGCAGAAAATGTCACCTTGGCTGTGCCAAAATAACCAGTAAGTACCCCTTTATGTCTCAGCTACACATAAATAAAACTTTGACACAATAAAAGGTTTACTATGAATATGATTTTATGGTCTATATATATTGTCATTCCATCAACTAATTTTGTGTTATGTAAATTTCTCTGACTAATGGACGTGTGCACTTGCTGAATGCAAATGCTGCAATGCAAATTGGTTCGCACTTGCAACCTCCCTAGAGCAGCACATTAAAACATCTGTTAAGTTTAGTTTTGTTTTTGTTTTTTACAGAGAAGAAAACAAGACATTACATTTTTCCAGTTTTCTATATGACAGCCAGTCTACACTTTTGTCTTGTGACTTGTTAGATGTGTACCTCTGTTAACGATTTGATGTAAGTTGAGTTGTCCACAGGTGTAAGAAGAAATAAAGAAATGTTTTTGTGGTTGGGGGTTTTACAAGAAAGAAATTACAAAGTCCAGCACTCCATTCTGTAAAATAATTGAAGATGTATTTCATTACACTTTATAGAGAACAAAATCATTACTTTTTGCATATTTGATAGCTTCTGAGACTAAACTGCAAATCTCTTTCGGTTTTCAGAGCATTTGAACTCCATTCAGTATGAAACAAATAAGTGCAATGAAAATTTATTTTCAAAAGTCAAGCATGGGAAATGGGGACACAAAACAATAAAAACTCAAAATGAATAGACACAAGACAAATTTAGCCTGTAAAAAAATTATCCTGAAAGTCTGCCAACATTCTGGTAATTTCCTCCCGACACCAGTTATTGTGCTTAAACTTTGAGTAAACACCAGCAAATTCAGCCTGAGAGACAGAGACAGGATGTTCTGTGGGCCAGCGGCTGTTCTCCACACAGGGCGAGGCACAGTGTGCACGTGTGAGAATTTACTCAAATGTTAGGAAAATTAAAGAATTCACTGCATATATACAATATTTGTACTTTAATGACCAAATACTAAAGTATTCTGGGAAGCGATGTCTTACATGTTGCAGGACGTGGTTGAATTAAAATGTTCACATGGCTAAAATTGTTGAAAGATTTACATTTTGGGGAGGGGGCACATTGTGTCTCACCTCCAAAAACACTGAGAACCGCTGAAGGGTAATATATGCACGTGACAGTCTATGAGTGTGTGTGTTAGTGTCTTAGTAGGACTGGCTGTTTCAGACACAGCTCGCTGCTCCCAGAAACGATAGGCATCTGGTTCTCCATGTGGAAACGCACCAGGTGACCAACACTCAGAAACACCTGATCACGGGTCCGCACCTAGTGGAACAAAAACACAAACAGCTAGCTTAAATATTAATTCCAGTTACCATTCTCCTCTCCTTGTGCATGTATGTTTGAACACCACAACTCTACCTGTCCATGTGGATCAACCAGCAGTAGGTGCCGCACAGTGGCTCCCTCCATACCACTGAGTACATACTGACCAGAGGCAGAGCTGCTCTCTCTCACCAGGAAATCCCCACTACAGCTGAGAAGTGACTCTGCCTGCTCTCTTCCTAACCTGGGATGAAGCACAACACAAAGTTACTGAGAAAGGAGGACAAAGATGCACATTAGCAGACAGATACATCACAGTAAAGTTGGCAATTCACTGGTAGAAAAGATACAAGGATGTTGATTACATACCTGCCGTGGAACCAGCCCTCTTCCTGGATCAGGTCCTGGATCCGTGTCTCAGAGACAGGAGTACACTGTTCAGCACTAACCTCAAATTCCACTGAGACTGATGGAGATACAATAGAAGGAGAGCATAACAGTACACACTTGTGGATAGCTCCATACAGGATTAACTTTAAACCAGGATTATATCTTGATTTATTTCACTATTCTGTATTCATAATTCTAGACCTTTCTCAAAATCTAACATAATCTTATTTTTAAATCAGACCTGATTTTAAAACTCTGATTTGTGTTTAACTTTAAACTGACGGTTTAATGGCAGTATTTTAATAGAGTAGACTGAGTGAGTTCTCTGTGGAAAAAAGGTAGAAAAAGTCTAACAGAAAAGTTTGAGCTGCTATTGAACATGGGAGTAAGCAAGAAGCTTGCTGGCACCATCCTTTCTTCTTCTACAGCTATAATTAATACATAATAATTAATAATTAATGTTATTCTTTGATTTAAACGACCTCATGTATTACTCAACCAGGTTTTTATTTAAATTACGCTACACATATGGGATCAAATTTAAATCTACTATAATAATTTTAAACTACGTTTTCCAGATCTATAACTAACCCATACCTTAATTCTCATGCACATAGCCACAGTGTAGCTACTTACATGTATACAGACACCTACACACATACAGCATAAAGTGTATTGATGATGTTTACCTGTAGATGGAGCTGGAATTTCTTCTGTGTTGGAGCAGTTCTCATACAGTGAAACAGGCTGGGACCAACAAACCTGCAAGAGCAGTAGATGAGTCATATGCACAAGGCAGAGATCTTAGCATGTGTGTGAGTGTGTCTGTCGGGCGCAGTGATGGCCTAAAGGTTCGAGATGTGTGCTCATGACAGGAAAGTCACTGACTCAATTCCCAGATTAGCACAAATAATTCTGGGAGGCGAATGAGAAGTGTTTGTGCCTCCCTTATTACAAACCCCTAAGGTGCCCTTGAAAAAGCCATTAAAAGAAATGCTTCTGCTCAGTGGCACATTATGTTGCTCTAATGTGTAATTCTGTTAACATTTGTGCTCAGCAAACCTAGAGAGCCTAAAAGAGAGCCTAAAAAAATTTTCCGGACAAAGTGTGTGTTCCTGTTTAAACATCTATTGTAATCCCTATCTGTGCTGTTTCTCTGCCATGAAGTCTGTATCATATTTAATTATAGTGATATTATTTTCAAATGTAAAAGTGTGGCATTAGCTCCTACTGACTAAATTTGATACCAATTGCTATCATTATATAATACAATATATATTCTATGCTTATATAATATAATGTTAATACAATATATATTATTCTCCTTTTATCAAGTGATAAAAACTAAACCCTCATCATGACAACCGAGCAACTTAATCTGCTGAGGAAGCCAATGACATGTGGTTAGACCTTGATATTTATTTCTTTTTTTCTTTTTCAAGGGTTGTGCTGTTTCCAAAGTCAAATAGATGTTCAACTAACTAGATATTGTTTGTGTTTTGGTGTTACAATTAACTCTTACAGCATCCTGTTTGTTCTCCTCCCTTGTGATCCGCAGGTCCTCTATTCCACCAGCGGGTGGCGTCTTTCCTGGGATCACGTTGTAGTAGTCATGATACTTGCTGGCTTCACCTTGCTGCTTGGTCTTTTGGTCTGTGGTTATCTCTGGGCTCCATTTGGGACAGATTCTCACTGCTGACCTGCAGGCAGAAAGTTTCCACTATTATGTGGAGAAACTGTGACATGACGACTACTAATATAATGCACATGCATGTATGCGGGTGAGTACACTGTCATACAGAAAAATAAATATAAAGATAGAGACACATACTCATATCAAAAGTATAGATTCCTTTGGATTTGTGAGTGCTTCTGCGCTGATGGATATTAAATTTGAACACACAAAACAAAGTGACACAAATATATGGCTGCAAATAATGATTATTTTCCATGCCAATCCATGCAAATTTTTTATTGATTAATCAACTAATTGCTTTGTCTATAAAATGTCAGCAAATTGTGAAAAATTCTTATCACAACTTCACAATCCCAAATAGCTTGTTGTGTCCAGCTAAGGACAAAATCCAACACTATTCTGTCCCCTACTGTTTGCTTAAACTTATTGATTACATATCTATAAGACAAAGAAAACCATCTAATGCCCATATTTGAAAAGCTAGAACCACCACTGGTAAAGCCACTAAAAGCTAGTGGAAATAATTACTGGCCAATGCAGAGTGAGATACAGCTACATTGCATTCCTTTAAAACTGGACATGTGGCAATTTATTGTGTTGTGTCACAGTAAGACAGCTACAATAGACAGCAGGACAACCTGGGATTGGACGAGAGGACCGGTGGCGTGTGGCTGAGAAGTTGTCGGAAACGAGACTCAAAGGCCTGACCGATGCTGTTGATAACCTCACCAGCCCGGCCCTGGGGACACTCCAGGATGTGACATGCTGACAGGGAGGGAAAAGAAGAGATTTTTCATAATAATGACAATAAAACGTTGTGCATTTACACAATGAAGCCAGACAGTCCAGTTGCAGAAGCCCAGCTCATCATAACAACACATTAAACTGTCCCTTACCTCTCTGATTGATGGGGCCCTTAGCAACATAAGCAATGTAATCTGCCATATCCTATAAACAAATTGAGAAAAAAATAAAAACAAGCATGACTATGAAACTTTTGCTGAACACTGTTGCCACAAATGGCAATTAGAAAATGCTAAATGACAAGACGATTGACAAGTAAGGTTGTAGAACCTAAACATAAAAGTGTATGGTAGTTGAGCAAGTGTGCATTTTATTGCTTATAAATTCAACTTTTAATTTGCAACTGAATGTGTTATTTCTTCTTCTAAAAGTTGCTTGGTCTCACTATTCTCTATATTTCTCTTTATGTCTGCATAGTGTCCAAATGGTCAATAATAAACCTCATGACAGTGTTGTGTAGTTCACTTTATAATCTGGTGGTTTCAGGATCTGCAATCAGCTGTTCGATTCATTATTTTGCTTGGTGACAGCTCATTTAATCATTGAAAACACAGCAGACATTTGCAGTTAATGGTCATCCATGTGTATTCTCTGTTTAATTATTAATTCATTCCTTATCAATGGTTCTCTGATACTAATATAAGAGTAAAGTCAACTGAATATGTTTCAGATTCATAAAGCCTCTGTTGATTTTAATTCCCTCCGCTATCTTCCATGTGTCCGAGCCAACTGAGTTGAGGCTTAGAGCGCACTACAAGATTATTTTAGTTAATTAATTAAACAGCGAGCTATAATCCCATCCAAGGCTTCGCCTGTGTTGTGTTTCCCACAGAGAAACTGCCTTCTTGTTCTCTCTAGTCTTTGGCCAGGGCAATGCCACAGTATCAAAATGGCAAAGAAATATTATAGTGTGCACCCCACTGTTTGTTTGAGCTATAAATGGAGAGTTCATGCTAACCCAAACATAAATATACGTTTTTGTTTGTTAAACAGCTTATTAAGCAGGGTTTGACCTAGAAAGTGGCTAATAACTGACATATTCTGCTGGCTTTTCAGACATTAACAGAGCAGAATTGATTTTTCCTCCGAAATGATAAGGGCTTATATTGATTATAGACATTTAGGCTATTCAGGAAATGTTTACTCAGTATGAATAATGCAAATTATGTCACATTGAAATAATGTGGGCATGAAGGGCAAGAGAGGAAAAAATAGAAGTAATTAGTTTGAAACAGACTTTGTGATGTGTAAAGATGATGAAAGCACATACGATCTTTGATGGTTGTATTAAGTCACAAAAAAGAATTATGATTTGTTGCTTATAGTAATGTATTATAAGAATCACACTTAAGAAGCAGAGAAATGAATTTATCCTACATCTGCCATATTGATGATTCTTTTTTAAATCCTTCCAGTTTACCCAATGATATTCTGCCAAAACCTGTCTTTAATGTGTTTTTATGTCCTTCAAATCCTTTTCCAGTTGCAATGAACATGTGAAATCTAATCTATTTATAATTTACAATTATGGGAAAATGTCTGTAATGCAAAAACAGAAAATAAGACATGGAGGAAATTCTTCTGCTCGTAGAGAAGGAACATCAGTGAAATCTTATAATAAGGGGATTTTAGTATTACATTGATGTGCAGACAATGAAGATGCATGGAAAGTGATTGCAAACAAAATCATTAAAAGCTTTAATGTTGCTTTTTGCATCCCTCATGAATAGAAAGAAGGAAAAAAAGTGGTATAACACCCTATGGGATTGTTTGAATCATATTCAAATAGGAGGATAAAGCTATTCTGAATTAGACATATTGCTTCAGGTAACTTATTAATCATGATGATCAATAAAATATTTTGTACAATCATTTCAATACAGGCCTTAGAAGGTGTAGTGGTCGTGTGCTCATTTCTGTTTTTGTACTGCAGCCATATAGAAACTACTCCTACTACTACTACACCTTTGGGGTTCTCTTAACTTTAAGGGTATTTTTAAGTGGCAAGGAAATTTGATGAACAGCTTTTGTTAATGTGAGTACAAGTGAAGGAATTTTACTTCTATCTTTCACTTTTAGCAGTTTGATAAATATGGGCCCTGACCTCGCACCACCAATTAAAAGAACAGAAGGATCAAGAGTTTGGGTAGGAAATAATTTAATTCTCCATGAATGGCAGCAGACCAAGCAGTAATCAAACTAAATCTACTTACTCACTCTGTGTGTTTGTGCACATGATACCCTATTTGTGTTGCCCACTTCCCATGAACATGTTTGAATATGTGAAACATTTGAGAATATGAACTTACTGGGTCTCCTCCTGAGGCAAATGAAATGGCCTGCATGGGGTGATAGGCAATCTTCTAATGAAGAGAAGAGAGAGAGAGAAAACAGGTTTTGTTAATGCAATAATTTCCTGTGACAGTTAGGATTTGGTTAAGTATGTTGAAGCTGTAACCTGTAAGGAGGAGGCAGTGATCAGAGTCACACTGTCTGTGGAGACAGCGAGGATGATCCTGCTCCCAGAAAACTGTAGGTTGATTTGACCCAGAATAGCAGACAGTCCCTTGCATACAGGCTGATGATGACAAAAATCCCAGTTATTGTAGTTGTGTCTGTGTTGACTGTGTGTGTGTGCATGTGTGTGTGTGTGTGTGTGTGTGTGTGTGTGTGTGTGGGGGGGGGGGGGGGGTTAGCAGCTTACCCTTTTAGTTTTCATTGCTGTCTTATGCGCTGATGCCCTCTCACACAGTCTGCTGATTGCCTCTCTGCACACACACACACACACACACACACACACACAGATTATAAACATGTACACACAAACAGATGTACACGTGCACACAGCAAACACAGAGATACCTTTGTAAACAAGTGATCCAGTGCGTTCTGCTAACATGTGACTTTCATGTGAGAATATGAGAAGAAGGAAACATTACAAGAAGCTCATCTACACTATCAGTTAAAAGAAATATACTGTATCATTGCATTAAAAAGTAGCACTGTATGCTACTTTTGGTGCAGTGAAACTAAATACATTCTCTCAAGTACAATACTTAAGTAATTTGAGGAATTTGTACTCGAGTATTTCTAATTTCTGTTACTTTATAATCTACAACAATTCATAAGGAAATTTGAACTTTTTACTCAGCTGCATTAACTTGACAGGTATAGTTACTATTTACTGCAGATTAACAATACATACAAAAAGAATATAAATTGTAATACACTGATCCATTCCTTAACTAAAAGTACCACTACATTAATATAAGCAAGCACATTACAAGTACAAATCATGCATTCAAAATCCTAAATAAGCAAAAGTAGAGATGTATCCTGTTCTGCAGACAAATTGTCTCTCCAACTGATATAGTATTAAATATGTCATCATTTCAATATTACTAATATAATATTACTGATGCATCAATGTGTTGGCGGCAAATACTGATATAGCTGGAGCTAGTTTTAGCTAGTTTAGCTACTACTACTATATATAGTTTAGGAATTTTAGCCAAGTGGTTTCCAACTTAGGGTTTTCAGAGGATCACAAGACAAATCTATGGGATGTTGCGATGATTAATGGGGCAGGAAAAAGGAAAGGAAAAATAAGATTATTACATTACATTTACATTACATTTATTCATTTAGCTGATGCTTTTATCCAAAGCAACTTTGCTAAAATTGCTATTTATGTCAGAGTTCGCACGCCTCTGGAGCAACTACGGGTTAAGTGTCTTGCTCAGGGACACATCGGTGGATGTGTCACATTGGGAATTGATACCGGGTCTTTCACACCAAAGGCATCCACTGCCCCATCGCCACCCCACTATTTTTTTTAAAGTAACTTGTAACAAGTTGCCAGATGAATGTAGTGAAGTTAAAAGTACAGGAATTTATTAGAGAAATTTGTCATCCAGCTACACCATTAAAATGCTGTTTGCACAATGATACTTCAGTATTAATAATCCAATATAATAATTATATAATATAACACTGGAATGAGTTACTTTTGATGCTTTAGTACGTTTTGATGATGATACTTTCATACTTTTACTTGAGTAAAATTTTGAATGCTTGACTTTTCCTAGTAATGGAGTATTTTTTGCATTGTGGCATGGGTTCTTTTGCGTAAGAAAAGGATCCGAGTACTTTCTCCACCACTAACTACAGTATACATGCCTTGAACTTAATTACACTAAGACAAAAGTAGTGACACGAGTGTTATATGCTATAAATGCTGGTCTTTACATTGGTGCAATTTTTTAACACTGGAGACATAAAAATTTAAACATTATACCTGTTGCAGAATTTGAAAGTACTATATTTTATGTATCTATTATTAAGAATTTTAATCTATTGTTTATCTGTTTTCATATTTCACATTATGGTGTATGTATTGTTGTCATTTTATTGTATCAATTCTATGCATTATGCTTCTGATCTTATCCATTTTGTAATCCTTGATTATTTTCTTCATATTTTAAGTAATTCATTATAATTCTGTCTTAAATGCTTTGTAACCAAGGGCATTGTTTGTGCTGAAAAGTTGTGGGGACATACAGGCTTAGATTAGGGGTGTGAAGAGACAAGAGACATCACGACATGTAATATTAGGTTCACCAGAATGAGACAGAAAAGATCCTTAAACAGTGTTTTAAAGATAGCCTCACTGCCAAGATATATGAGCAGGTAGGCTGGGGGGACCTACCCCAGGAAATTTTGATCTTTAAACACGTCATTTCCTGCATTCTGGTTAAAGTTTCCGCACAAATTCATGGTGGAAATGTTTTTATTTCTGTAAAAGGAAACACAAAATTCTGGTGGCAGGTGACATTTCAAATTATATAAATATCATAGAACATGATGCAGTGCAGCTGTCAGAAATTCTGCACTGCTTTCAGATCGGGTTTTCCTGTAGATCAACGTTTCTCATGTAATATCATCCCTGCTGAGGCAACACATGTATAGGCATGATTTAGGCTTCCCTACTCTTTTTTTCATGTTCAAAGGGAGAGAAATTAAAACTTGACCAAAAAGAACTGTGCCAAGAAGTTGTTAAAGTTACTGATTGGTGGATACATGTTTTGGGGTCATTTTATATTCAGTAGCTTGTTTTGTTTAGCTTACTTTTTTTTTTTTTTAACAAATTATGCTTTAAAAAATGTGGTGGGGACAAAATCAGCCATTTAAAAAAGTGGTGGGGACATGTCCCCAGCATCCCCAGGGTAAATGACACCTTGTATGTTTGAAACCTTTAGATTTTATGTTCTATGTGGTGCTGTTTCTTGATCAGCAGGACTTGTGAATGAGTCGTTTCCTGGTCATTTTAAGCTATACATACAAATACAACAAATATATAGAGAAAAAATAAATTAAATAAAAGACTGTTAGTGTAACTGACCTATAATTGACTACAAAAATATGTGTTCTGATCTGTGTTCTCATATTAAAGCTGCATTTCTTCAGAGCTTTGCAGTCGCTGACATGCCTGTCTTCAGAGAGCTGATGGTGAGTCGAAGAGGTCAAAGCATACAAACACCCACCCACACAAAAGTATAATCCCACCATCTAGGAATTTAGATTTGTTTTCCAAGGAACTGCTTTTACTTCTCCTTGAAAAAACTTTTATGTAATGGATTGAGGTCTCCCTCCTTTAATAAGACTATGAGAGATCATTAGGAGGAAATTCATCTAATTGAATTTTCTGCTCTATCATTCAGCAGTATTGCTGTGAACAAAGGTTGCTGTGTTCATCGGCATTTTGGCATCCTACACTGAGATGTCAATATCAAATGATGAGGAAAAAGCCCTGGTTTATGAAACATTATACATTTAATTTGATTTCCCCCTTTGAAACATGTTTTTAATAAACCACACATGTCTCACTTGGCAAATATATGTTCAATGAATTCAGGGTAAAGCTTGCAACAAGCAAAACACCAGCATATTCATGCATAACTTCATACTCAAAGCAGTTAGATGTTTATTCTTATGTATCTACTCATATTTGTGTGTGCATGCGTGCGTGCGTGCATGGTGGTAATTGGAGGACCTCCTACCGTGTGACTTGCATTCTCGTTTCAAAGTCAAGGGTTCTCATGGACTGGGTCACCTCCACACTACCCATGTACTAGGAAAACACAACAAAACACCCGTTATTCACTGATTATAAGGTAAAATAATACAGACAGTTTGCTGATGTAGGCAATGTTTCTGTCCAGTTTTTCCACAACTGAAAGATAAAGCTGACAGGATGTGAGGTGACAGGAAAGGAAAAATACATTCCTTCTGCTTCCTGACCTTTCTCTATTCTTTGTTTGTTATCTTTGTCTTTATGTTGATTAACCTCTGAATACATTTCTCTAAAATATTGTGTGTAAAAATGTAAAGAAGGATAGAAGAGCCCATTTACATGTGCAACATGTGATTATGGGTTTGTAAAATTTAGCTTTTAAGGGATCTCAAAAAGCCTGAAAACCACTGGACTAATGATGTGGTTACAGGGCTTTCACACCAAAAGCACACAATCGACATTTCATAGCCATTATTTCCTATGGACAGAGAGGAGTTGCATAACCGGTAGCAACGTGTACTATGCAGATTTTCCAGCAGGTTTCTGTGGAGTAAATTCAACTATTCACCTTAGTTGAAAGTGTCCAACTAAGTCAAACTTTGTCTCCAAATACGTCTTTGATGAAAGGAGGATGTTATGACAGCGATAATTTTAATGATTATTTACATTCTGTTCTAATGTGTAGCATCCAAAATAGCTGCTTTGTTGAATTATGTGCTGCGTTTCATTTTGCACTCTAACTGTAACACAGACTTGTGCATTTGGTTTGAAGCTATGCAGATGACAGCCAACTGTATAGCTGTAGTGCCTGATGACCTAAACAATCTAAATTGATTAACAGACTACTTTAGGAGAATTATAAATACTGGTTATTATAAATACAGATTCAAAAAAAGTTTTTAAGTGGATTTGGCAACAGGATCAATCAGACAAAAAATGTTTAAGAATCAGTTAATTTGTATTTTTCCACCTAAGAAATAGCTAAAGTCAAACCACATCTTTTCTAACATTACGCATTTCTGTAATTCTTTTATTTTCTCTCTTCTTAGTAAACAAGACTAAGACACTAAACCCATGCTAGAGACTCCGCGAGACTATACTAAATGTTAACATCAGCATGCTAACATGCATGTTTAGCAGATAAAATGTTCACCATCTTAGTTTAGCACTTTAGCATGTGAACACACGCTAATTAGAATGAAACTACAACTACACCTAAGGACATTTGGTGCCAATCCATCAAGTTTGTCAGTACGTTTCAGTGTGACAGGTGACCATGAAAGTCTGTAAAAAAAAAAATCTATCCTATATTTGTTGAGATATTTCCGTCTGGACTAAAGTGGTGGGCTGACCGACCGATCGACAAACATTACCATTCTTTGATTCATGTCGCTACCATGGCTAAAAATAACGCATTGTAACTAAAGCTTACCTGTGACTTTTAAAATGTTTTATATTATTCTACCACCTTTGCACATTTGTGACTGTCTCCTTTACACTTTACTTTTACACTAACTGCTGGCTTAGATCATTGAGCACTTGAACATTAAATGTACATACAGCTGAGCTTATGGACCAAAACTGTGGAACAGCACTTATGACATCTTGACATAAAGATAAAGGTGTGAAGAGAATGGAGAACCAGACCACATTTAGGCCATGTACACTTAAATGCTCTTCTGCCAGTCCCACTTCTATTGGCCATGAGCTTTGGCAGAGCAGACCCTATAGGCTGGAGGCAGGATGAGTAAGTCCACTGATGGAGACCAGACTTAAATCAATATGTGTGTGTGTGTGTGTGTGTGTGTGTGTGCATGTATATGTGTGGGTGGGGTAAGTGGGCAGGAGTGTAATGTATGTGTGTGTGCTTGTTTATAGAGGACAATCAGACAGTCCGTTCTCATTTCCATCAGTGGACAGCTCACAGGCCCTGCTCCTAATCACCCATGCGGACACACCTCCGGTTCTAGGACAGCATGGGCTCTGCTGATACCGGATACATTCACACACATGCATTCACTCACACACACACAGAAGCCGAGCAGAGAGCCAGGATGAGTCACTACTGCCTACACAGGAAGCTCTATCTGAGAGGGAGGGGGTGAATGTACAAAAGTGAGTGTGATGGTGTGGATAGAGCACAGGGAGACAATGTGTCTGACAGTTTGTGCGTGAGTCCAATATTCTCATGTATGTGTTTGTGTTGGCACTGGTGGGAATTAAACTGTGTACCTCAACTCTCTGCTGGGACCCTGGATATTAGCTGCACTTTCTTGCAAGTGAAGAAGCTTTACGCTGACACACAATCAATCAATTTGAGCAAATTGTCAAAGTGAAAAACATGAAGATTAAAAAGAAAAGAATCCTATACACATGCTTAGTTGCACTGCTTAACATGTGTGGTGATAGGTACCTTGATGTGATGGTGAACAGCTCTGTTTGCCGTCTGTACCATTGTACAGTCATCCACCGCAGAAGAAATCTTCAGACAACATAGACCATCTCTGTGTTGCGAGTGAGGAGGACAACTAGGGGTCCAGGGGAGGCTGGCCATCCGATGCAGGGTGATGGGTCTTTTTGTGCAGTGCAGAGCAAAATGAGTTAGGTGGTGGCCAGTGGATAGGGGCACATTGAGGGAGGGTTGGCTACAAAATCTCTGAGTAGGGCCAGAACCCCACTCTGTTTCGGAAAAGGGTCTGTCAGTTTGTCCATCAATGGCTCTGTCCCTGGCTGTGTTTGTCTGTCCCCTAAGGCTCTGCAGGGAAATAGGACTTTGCAATCGGATGTTGGCCATGCGGGGAATGAAGTCCCTCAGGGTGGACGGCCCATGGTGTGTAGGCATCCTGGGATCCAGCTGGGCAAAATCAGAGTCTAAGCACAGGTCCGTCAGCATTCTTTGGGGCGGATCCTCCAGAGACGTCAGCGAATCGTTGCGCAGACGACTGTATTTGGTGCGCTTCAGCATGCCTGTAGAAGATGAAAAAAAGTGTCACAACTGGAAATTCAGCATAGTGATTTTCATTATGCTGATTATGTCTGTAATAACAAAAGTTATGAGCTACCTGGTAAGAGTCCTGTCTGTGATTTGAACCTTAGTAAGGTTTGCTCTCTCATAATCAGGGAACAGGACAAAAGAGAGCACTGGGACAAAGTAAAAAAGACAAAAGAAAAACCTGGGAAAAGGAATTAGACTAACAATGACAGTTATCAAAAACAGAGGATTGACTTGATAAAGGAGATTTGACTACAGATAGCAGAATTACAGAGAGGCATGACGCGCATTACGTTGATCATTTTGGTTGAATAGCTAATCAGCTGATTTTTAATAAATTATCTTACTGTGTCCCCAGATTATAAAATGGGATACCTGCAGTACATTTCAGTGCATTCAACTCACCAGTGTGGGGCTGGGGATGTCCTGTGGAGTCTAGAGTCCAGTCTGCTAGTCAAGCTGAGTACAGTCCCAACCTACTGACCCATACACTTTCTCAGTCAGTTGCCAAGGCTTCCAGCTCTGCTTCACCTCAACAACAACTTTCCTCCCCTCTGTCTTTTCTTTCTGAGTCACAGCAGAAATGTGCAGCTTTTATGAATGAACTTTCTCTTTTTTTATGAATGAGAGGCTCTCGCTCACTTCCTCTGTCTCTCTATGACGCTGCATGCAGATGAATGTGTGAATGGAGCGGAGGAGAGATTGACAGACGGCCCCTTAGGCTCTCTCCCCCTCCCTCACCCATAAACTACCGTCCAATCACAGGCGGGTAGGGTGACTCATGCTGTACACACACACACACTTATACACTGAAGCAGAGCCAATACAGTACATGATTGCTCTATTCCTCTCTTCTAACATCAGTTGCACCTCATAGATGGTGTTAGTGTTTAATACATTATTAGCCTGGCTTTCCGCCCTTCCTGTTTTCTCTTAATTTGAGGGTTTAACATCTGTACTAATTGATACAGCTCAGATTGACTTGATTTACACAATGACATATATTCCATGAAGACACAAGAGGAAGAGGATTTAAATGAAACATTTGCATTTCAGCTTGATTCCAATCAGAACAACGTATCAGGCACCGACTAAATACTGTTTTGCATACTGTACTTATTCCTGATTAAAAGATTATCTAAAAGCAAACAAGCAGGCAGAGTGTCAAAGTACTTCCATACTTTGGCCTGGAATTATAAGGTAAATTTGAAGGATTTTAGAGTAAAAAAATATTTCTGACTTTAAAATTAACAACTTAATTACAGGTAACTTGACAACTGCCGACTGTATGTAAATCCGCTGACTATAATAAGAAAAAGTCTTCAACTCTGAGAAGAAAATAGTGTACAGCGGAGCTTTGCCCTTCCCCAGTGGTTGTTTAGTAAAACTGCAATCTAGGCCTGCAACTAACTATTATTTTAGTTATCGATTAATCTGACAACTATTATCTCGATTATGCAATATATAATTTGTCTATGAATTATTGGACAATAGTAAAAAATGCAGTCCAAAGCCAAAAGATACTCAAAAACAAAGAAAAGAATTGAATCCTCACATTTCAGGACCTGGAAACAGACAATGTTTGGCATAATCAATTATCAAACTAGTTGCAGATATATTTTTTCTTGATCTATTCTTCTGCAATCTAATTGTGTACATGCTTATGAACCAGCCAACAGTTGTAGAAATTGAGGCATCAGACAAATGACTCACATAAACATTTTAATGATGTTAATCATCAGTCCATACATGTTAAGAGTGATAACAGGATAATGAGAAACAGCCTCTAACAATGTTGCTAGTGATGTACAGTCTAAAGAAGACAATCTTAAATATCCATATAAAGACGAGGAACACGTTGAAAAAGTACTTCATTTAACCATTTTTTGTGTGTTTACATTGTTCACATTAGTTACAAGACCTTTACCAGTACGTATTTACATAGTGCAAAAGACACTTGTCAGTTAACATACTTCAAACACTTTAATGGAAGTCATAGCAACAAAAAGCCTACACACAGCGTACCTTTTATCAAACCAGAAATACTTTCATAATCCCAAGTATGATATTCAGTACACAGTCATCTCCCTTCTCAGGGCTTCACATTGCATACAGCCCAACATACTGCATTTGCCCACCGCATCACCATCGAATAGCTGAAATCTCACTATGATTCACTATCAAATACCATTATCAAATTGGATTCCAACTGTTAAAATGTTAAAACTATCAAATGAATTTAAGAACAGGATGATTGTATTTTTTAAATACAATGCAAAATCAAAAGCTCTTTTGTACACTTGTATTTACAAGGGTTTATCATTAGTATGTGCATGATTTTGTGAAGACTTGTTTGACCTCCCAGTGGTGACTCTGCCCCAATGAGAGTACTTCTCAGCTGTGGTGAACTGACTTTAGATTAGCTGATATAGCTGGGCGCTCACAAAATCTGTCCATAACAACCACAATCGCTTTAAAAGGATTCATTTCTTTTTATTTATTTTAATATTTATGTTTATGTTGCTACTCTGGTTTCTTCTGTCTTGTAAGCCTGTTTGGGCTGGGCAAATTATTTACGCATGACACAATAATAATGAAAATCAACAATATAAGCAACCATGTGTGTTCTTTTTTCAACTTGGGTATTGTCAAACTTCATGAATACCAGTAAACACCTGCTTGTCCTATTGGTTTGGTAGATTTAGGTGGCGGGAAATAAGAAATAGTCTACACTGGTAAAAACAAGGACTTAGTGCACCTTTCCAGTCCCCCGATTATTTCATTATATTGTAAACTATTTACACAGGTGTTAAGCACTTTACTACCAAGTTTATTTCTGACACTTGCAAAATATCTTTCCGGATGGACTTAAAAGTATCTTAAGTGTTAATGATACATTTCATTAACAGGCTTCTAAAATGGTGATAGGTCATTACCAAGTAAGAGACAGCTTGAGAGCCCCCATCAGAGAACAAAAACCACCAGAGAGAACAAAACAGGTGCACTTTGTTTTTTTATGAAGCACAGACATCATCTGGGAACTCAAGACAATTCCAGTCAGAGGAAAACAACCCCAAATAGTTTCACACTAGGCAAGATCAATATGACAAACCATTATATACTGTAGTAGAACCACATAGACAAGGTTATATACAACAAAGCTTGTTTTGCTTCTTAGAAGTTAAGTCGTTTGAATCATCTGAATACAGAATGGGCCACTTATCATCTGAACATTAAAAAACACTCTCTGAAGACTGATGGGCGGGAGTGGTTTTGGTAGAAAGACAGAACCCCTGACACTAATATTTTGAGAGGAAAGCTAATTATCAAAGAAACAGTAATTAAGAAATGCACGTCTCTCCTTCCCTCATGGAGCAGTCAGGTGAAAAACAAAAACACACACACACACACACACACACACACACGCACACGCACATTATTTACAAAGATAAAGCTAATGAACACAGCAAAATAAATGCAAACTATGTGCCTATAAAACACACAAGCACACAAATACTTGTAGAGCTTCATCTCAGCTCTGTATAAAGTAAGACGGGAGCTGAAAGGTTACAACCTTCCTTCTCTGTAAGCTACAGACAGCAGTTCAACATTTTCTTTTTGTTTGTTTTTTTGTTTTGTTTTTTTTTTTTTTTAAATCGCTCATCACTTGCTCCCAGAAACATCCCTGACTCTGAAAGAGTTCAGCTTCGGAGGAGGAAAATCTAAAAATTCCCTCTGAATTCAAGTGTAGCAGGTTATGGGCAGAACGAGTGAGGGTATCCTTTTAAATGACAAGATGATGAAAGTATTGGTGTCAATTATTATCCCTCAAACTTTATTAGTTGTCATTTGGTCTGCGACCCTGTGTTTTTATAAGTTGGTCTCTGTAATGTGTTGGTCAGTTGGTTGGATACCTGAGACTATGTCTGGTGTAAGGGGTTAGAGACAGAGGAGAAAAGCTGCTGGCTGCTGTGAAGGGGGATGTGTGAGTTTAACAGAGGACAGAGGGAAGGAGTATATGTAAGAACAAGAGAGGTGGCATCAACCGGTGACCTTCTTAGCCTCCACTTGCTCTTTGCCCTCCATCGTTGTCTCTGTGATGTCAGCTAAATCGAGGTCCTCCTCGTCCTCACTCTGCCCTCTCTCCTCTTCATCGTCTTCCTCCTCCTCCTCCTCTTCCGTACTTTCCTGGCTCTTTCCCAGCTGCAGGTTTTCCAGGGTCTTTGACACCCAGGATTCGATGCGGCTGCTGAGGGTGGGCACCTCCACAGAAATAGGTTCAGGAGTGTAGTCCTCCTCCTCTTCGTCTTCCTCCTCTGCCTCTTCCAACATCCCGGGGACGAGGGTGGAAGTGGTGGAGGTGATGGAGGAGTTCAACGGGCCCCTGCAGCTCCCATCCAACGAGCCCGTCTCTGTGCTCTGCTGAGAGGCCAGTTCCAGCCGGTCGTCAACCCGGACCTCGTCTCTCTCACCTGTACCCTGTGTCAGAGGCCCTGCCCTGGGTTGGGGAGCTGTGGAGACAGGAGGGGCAGCACCGGGGGTGGCTGTCAGGGGCTCATTGGCTCTCTGGGCAGCTGTGGAAGGTGCAGGGCGACTCGGCTCAGCTTCTACAGCCTCCAGGGCATCTGAAGTCTCCACCATACTCCTCCAGTTGGTCTCTGAAGGAATAAATAGACTTGTTAAGCTCCATTTTCTATTCTCAGCAACAGTACAGATGGTGGAGGAAAGTACATTTACTCAAAAACTTGCATTTTACTTGAATGTTTCCAGTTTCTGCTACTTTATACTTCTACGAGTCTACATTTCTGAGGGAAATATTGTATTTTTCGGTTCATATTTTATATAAAAAATATTTAACTTAAATTTAAGATTGAGAGTAAATCAGTTTGGCTGGTCCAGTTGGGGCCCTTGTCTCATTTCAGGTGTCTGAAGTTCCACCATTAGGTGGTTTAATTTAAATTATTGTTCAAGGTTCAAGAAGTTAGTATTAAAGAAAAGATGTAAACATTTTGAGTAGCAGTATCTTTTCTACCACAATAATCATCTAAGAGTTCCTTAATCATCAGTAGATTCAACTCGGCTAAATGTTTCTCATGCATTGATGCATCAGTAACAATAACTGGTACTTAACTTAAGTAAGTAAAATGATCTGAATACCATACGTCCAGCACTGATAACAGATAACCATAAGAAAAATATATAACAAAGATCCCCAGCACAGAGCCACAAATGAGTGATCTTACCATACTCCTTCTCGTTGACCTCTGAGATGGGCTCGGAGAAGATGGAGCAAAAAGAGATAGCAGAAGCAGCAGAGTGGTTGCGGGAATGTCCCATGTGGTGCGGGACTTTCTTGTCATTTTTCAGAGCTTCCTCAGCCTGCTCCTGCTCCAGAGCCGACACCATGTCCTTGTAGGCCTTCCTAGCCTCTTCTGTCAGAGACACTAAACGGTTGAAGAGAGCCTAAAGAAGGTAGAGGGATTTAAACAAGTCAGCAAGGGGCAAAAAAACCTTATGCTTAGAGATGATCCTGTGTGTTCAAAGGTGTTTCTTGAGTGTCTCTCCTCTATATTGACGACTACTGACTACTAGCCTATATTTTTTGTTCATTCCCTGACCTGATATTAAGACAGATGGATCGGATGGTTAGATAATATATAGTATAATAATGTATCAAAAACTATTTATTACAATCAAGGGGTTTTAGTGAAAGGGAGTGCCTTACCTCAGCTCCAGAAAAGTTGAAAATGCCAACCACACTAACAGGCACTAGTTTGTTGACGCAGCGTCCAAGAGCTTTTCTGCCCAAAGCAAACACAAAAGGGATCTCCTGCTCCCTAGCCATGGCAATTACATTGTACAAAGCTTCATCCAAACCACCTGCAACACAGTTAACAATTGGTCACTCAAATGTACAGAAAATGTAAATACATGAACAAAAAGAACAGAAAATATCAGCTAAGGACTCGAACACAAGAGTGCACCTGCTGTTTTGGTAATACCAACATTAGGCGTGGGAGCTACACAACCCCACATCTATTAATTCAAGTATGACTGCTGGGTTTGTACGCAATGTATGCTCTCTTGTGAGTGTTCATCATGAGATTTTCTTTTTTGAAATTTTAATTCTGCAATAACTGACTTTTTTTTTTGTCCACTTGAAGGCAGTGGAAACAAGTTGTGAGCACAACATTGACACATCATCACCTTTCACGTTGACATGGCAAATTTGTTAGCAAACGGTTACTTATTTACACATTCATTTGGAGTCATATTTCTGGCCAAGTGCAATATTCAATCTCTTTTAGCTCTGTTTTTGGATGCTGCATGAGTGAAATATCTGAAGATTTTTTTTTTGCTGACGCTATGAGAGCAGTGACAGTGAACCAACACAGTAAAGTTGTTGGCTCAACAGATCAATAGAGAGCTGAAAGTTGCTACAAAGCTGGGTAAAACCAAGGGGAGCTGCAGATTTGGGTGATAATTCTCTGTAGGTTCATCACTACGAGCCACCCATTTCACATACATTGTTATTATAAAAAATATCGATGATAGCGGCTTTAAACATGTTCACAGCTCAGATAATCAGACTTCAGACAATTTGATCAAATATGGACTGATGCTGAAGACGGTATGTCAATATTCACCTTTGGCCTGGATCTTCTCACAGTTGGGAGAGATGATAACACACTTAATCTTATGCAACTTCATGTGCTTGGTGACCTCTCGGAGACCCATGACCAGGCGGCGTTTGGATTTGGCCTTGGTAGGATCCTTCTGGTAGACCCGCTCCTGGAAACGCACCAGTTCCTGTAATAGCAGTGTCACGCTCTCATCGATCTCCTTACTCAGCACTTGGTTACAGTACCTGCAGAAGGAAAAAAAAGAGGTTACAGATGTTCAAAACAGCACTTTCATCTTTTGGGTGACTGCTAAGCTAACAATGACAATTGTCATCAATGTTAACTAACACAAATGATGCTGTGAAAGGCAAATTAAAGGCTTTATGACTTCAATGAGTTTATTAATCTATTATTTAATTTACAAACAAAGAATAAGCACAATTATGATAATCCAAATATGTTTTTCAAGCAAATATAAATAATGTAGCCCCTAAATTGGGTCATCTGCTGCTTTTCTTTGTCTTAGGCAACCGTTAAATGAGTAGCTTTTAAATTTTGAAGTTGGTCCAATACAACAAATTGATGTTAAAGCCCCCCTCCAGCGTATTGAGTCATTTCCTTGCAATGTCGATTACCCACATAGTTTGACAAATGGCTTAATTTTTTGCTCAAGGTTGCAAAAGTTTCTTAGTTGTTAAAATAGGGTTGTGACGTGTGACTATAGTAATTCCATAAGTCATACGTCATTCTCCAAGCTTGCACAGGCTCACTGTCATGCCTCGTTAAACTGTTAAACACCTCGTAAAGTCACAGCATCAAACTGATAAACATTGTTGTGAGCTAGCTAACCAATTTATCATGTATTTACTTAGAACTTACAGTAGGTATGTCTGTGTGTCTGATGGTTTGTCTTTCTAGTTTAGTTAGCTAAGTTAACTTAGTTGTAGTTAGCCAGGTGTAGTTAGCTAGCATAGTTATTGCAGAAAGTTGGCTAACAGAGGTTCTTAATTTTATTTTTTATTTTCCTCCTCTTGGTTTAGTGTGCTGTTCATTTCCATTATGGCATCTGTGCATGCAGTGTTGGAGGACAGATGACAGAAAAATCGTCACACTTTCACCTGCCACCGTCTTATATACAGTCTGCAACATGCATTTTACTGACGGCCGTTGTACCAATGCATCAGCGAAGGCACCCACCACACCCCCGTGGTAAAGTAAGCGCACCATAAAAAATAGGAGTTATCGTGTGCAGTGCTTGACAGGACCATCGACTGTATGACTGATAACAGCTGATACTCGCACATTAGTTTCTATCATGGGTAAGTAATAGCTACTCCTGCCAGACAGTAAAGTGTACTAAACTTTACAGTGTAGTGATGTTAACACAGCATGTCGTTAGTGAACACTCCAGCTGGTCAGTTTTTGGTTGTCATGGTAATGTATTACGTCCGACTATTAACCACACCCCCATTCTCTGTTTGAGAAAGAACGTTTACCAAAAATGGCACAAAAACTGTCTGGATGGGGCTTTAATTTGGAATTTAGAACATCTTGGGGCATTTTTTTAAAAACTATTTTCTGATATTTCAAAGACCAACAATGAATTGAAAAAGGTCTATGATAAAAATAATTGTTGAATCCCTAAAAAAGCTTTAGTCTTTGTTGTTCTCTTTAAAATTGACCAATTCAAAGTTTTACACAGCTGTTCATGACAACTTTGTTTAACTGCTAGTTGGTTACACTTATGCTATTACCCTTTGTTGCTATCTGACCCCTTTTCTGAATCAGGGTAAGCCTTGCAGGCTCTCTAAGACAGAGCAGAGCCATCTGATAGCACGTGTACTCCCACTAGTGTTGTGGTTTGATGAAAACTATCGGAAGGTCGACGTAGTGTGGTCTGACGGACAAGTGAAGAGGTCAGTGCTGAGAGGAGGAGCTTGGCCACAGAGGCCTTTGAGGATTTAAATGCAAAATCTGTTAGAGAAGGGTGGGCTGGGACAATAGGCCTACAGCAGAGGACACAGAGGGACAAAGCAGTTTTTGTGACCACTGACATACATTTTTGCTGAGAAGGGACAATGTGCTGTGCCATACTCTACAATTCTTTATTGTACAGTTTCGCCCTTAAAAAACACCCGTTGACTTTCAGAGTACGCTTCTCACGGCCACGGCTCTGATTCTTGAGTGGGACAAGTATTTGCTTTGGTAACCATTTTTTGTTACCACATTGTGCATTTTTGAGACATTCCAATGCCAAGGATTCCTACAAAATGTCTTTCCCTGTTCAATATTTGGTTTCTTACTCCATGTGGGGGTAAGAGAGCGCACTTACTCTCTGAAACGTCGGCTGTGGATCTTGGTGATGGCGTTTGAAGCCATGGGGCTCCCAATGCCAGAGCTGGCAGGAGAACCCTGGGATACCGGTGTGATGCTGTAGGGAGAGTTCTGACTGGCTGGGGAAAGGGACGCATCACTGGGCATACTCAGACCATTGTCTGTGGTACAAACAGCAGACCAGAAATAACAATTAGAAAATGTATCATGGAAACCAAAAATATGGGTAAAACTGAATTGTTTTCACTTCTTAATAATGAATTAACCCCACCTTCTTGGGAGGCAGGCTCTCGAGGAAGATCATCAGTAAAATGTAGACACTCCTCACCATGCTCCTCCTGGCCTGAAGACTCTTGTTCTACACTTGACTTCCCTTTCTTCCCTTCCCGTTCCTTCAAGATAATCTATCGAAACACAAAACACAAACACAATATCAATAACAACAGCACTTGGCAGGTTCAAAGATCTCCATTCCTTTTACCAATTTCTATGTAGACAATATAACATCTTTCTCCCATCTCTCCTAAATGATTAACTTCAACTTGAATCATAACCTTCTTGAGGGCTGTTGGCCGTTTCACTTTGGGGATCTCTCTCTCCTTCCCTCTCTTGATACGTGGTGCAGTGGAATCCAGGGTATTATGTGGGGCTGAGTATGGCTGCTGATGACCCTTTAACATGGACGGCACGCTGGTCGAGCTTGAACCGTGGAATGGAGTAGTTGTTCCAACTGGGGAGAATGACAAGTCCGTATACAGGCAGTATGTGAGTATGTGTAAATGTGTGTGCACAGTAGGTTCATTATGTTTGGTTTGTGTTGGGACTGTCAGAGGTTTTGAGTCGACTCAGTGGTCATGCTCAGGCAAGTCAGTGGGGGCAACGAATCAAGCTTAATGAGTCACATTAAGTTAAAGAGAAATTAGGAGTAGGTGTTAGCTTTAGTAAAGTCTGATAATCACTATATTTTTGAACATGTTTTCATAAGGACATTTACAAAAGATACATACAGTGGGTACGGAAAGTATTCAGACCCCTTTAAATTTTTCACTCTTTGTTTCATTGCAGCCATTTTCCAAAAATCAAAAAAAGTTCATTTTATTTCTCAGTAATGTACACTCAGCACCCCATCTTGACAGAAAAAAACAGAAATGTAGAAATTTTTGCAAATTTATTAAAAAAGAAAAACTGAAATATCACATGGTCATAAGTATTCAGACCCTTTGCCGTGACACTCATATTTAACTCAGGTGCTGTCTATTTCTTCTGATCATCCTTGAGATGGTTCTACACCTTCATTTGAGTCCAGCTGTGTTTGATTATACTGATTGGACTTGATTAGGAAAGCCACACACCTGTCTATATAAGACCTTACAGCTCACAGTGCATGTCAGAGCAAATGAGAATCATGAGGTCAAAGGAACTGCCTGAAGAGCTCAGAGACAGAATTGTGGCAAGGCACAGATCTGGCCAAGGTTACAAAAAAATTTCTGCTGCACTTAAGGTTCCTAAGAGCACAGTGGCCTCCATAATCCTCAAATGGAAGACGTTTGGGACGACCAGAACCCTTCCTAGAGCTGGCCGTCCGGCCAAACTGAGCTATCGGGGGAGAAGAGCCTTGGTGAGAGAGGTAAAGAAGAACCCAAAGGTCACTGTGGCTGAGCTCCAGAGATGCAGTCGGGAGATGGGAGAAAGTTGTAGTAAGTCAACCATCACTGCAGCAATCCACCAGACTTTATGGCAGAGTGGCCCGACGGAAGCCTCTCCTCAGTGCAAGACACATGAAAGCCCGCATGGAGTTTGCTAAAAAACACCTGAAGGACTCCAAGATGGTGATAAATAAGATCCTCTGGTCTGATGAGACCAAGATAGAACTTTTTGGCCTTAATTCTAAGCAGTATGTGTGGAGAAAACCAGGCACTGCTCATCACCTGTCCAATACAGTCTCAACAGTGAAGCATGGTGGTGGCAGCATCATGCTGTGGGGGTGTTTTCAGCTGCAGGGACAGGACGACTGGTTGCAATCGAGGGAAAGATGAATGCGGCCAAGTACAGGGATATCCTGGACGAAAACCTTTTCCAGAGTGCTCTGGACCTCAGACTGGGCCGATGGTTTACCTTCCAACAAGACAATGACCCTAAGCGCACCGCTAAAATAACGAAGGAGTGGCTTCACAACAACTCCGTGGCTGTTCTTGAATGGCCCAGCCAGAGCCCTGACTTAAACCCAATTGAGCATCTCTGTAGAGACCTGAAAATGGCTGTCCACCAACGTTTACCATCCAACCTGACAGAACTGGAGAGGATCTGCAAGGAGGGATGGCAGAGGATACCCAAATCCAGATGTGAAAAACTTGTTGCATCTTTCCCAAAACGACTCATGGCTGTATTAGATCAAAAGGGTGCTTCTACTAAATACTGAGCAAAGGGTCTGAATACTTATGACCATGTGATATTTCAGTTTTTCTTTTTTAATAAATTTGCAAAAATTTCTACATTTCAGTTTTTTTTCTGTCAAGATGGGGTGCTGAGTGTACATTACTGAGAAATAAAATGAACTTTTTTGATTTTTGGAAAATGGCTGCAATGAAACAAAGAGTGAAAAATTTAAAGGGGTCTGAATACTTTCCGTACCCACTGTAAATACCAGATATTAGATTAAAAAAGCAAAACTGCAGAATGGGGCTAAATTCCAAACAAGAAAACTTAAATGAATGAAATAGGACATTTGTTTAAAAACAATACATATTATAGCCTCAGACAGTATTGAGTTAAATCGCCAAAGTCTATGCTTAAACTCAATACTGTTATTTACTGCCGGACTTTTGTATTGTAAGATGTGTGTTGAATCCCCCCCACTTGTTCATTTCTGATCAAGTCTATGAATACCTGTAAAGGACAGTGGCTTAGTATTGTTGAGTTGTCTGGCCTTCATAGCCTGCTGATGTTTCTCCAAAGCTGCCAGCATGTCTCCCAGGTCCAGCTCGACAGAGGTTTTACTCTTCTTCCCTGCTGCTTTGGTGAATGCCTCCTGCCGGGGTGAGGAAAGAAAAGACAGAAAAAGATCACACCAAGTGGTGAGGACCAGAGCTGATTTAACAAGGCATAGAAACTATGATAGAAACACATCAACAAGCCATAACATTCAAACTCTTCAGTCTGAACCTAACCTACATGACCAGCAGACATAGCGCAGGTTTATACCTGCAATTTCTTTTGTTCCATGCTGATTTCAGAGTACTCCTGTGCTGTGGCCAAGGCAGCTGCCAGCGCCTTCTTCCTCTGGCTCTTGGCCCTCTTGGGAACAGAGGTGGTAATGGGGATAGGAGTCTGCACAATATTGATAGGGGAGTTTTCTGGTAGGTTATCCAGCTGCGTTTAGAGATAAAAAATAGTATTTAGTAGGGGTGTAAAGATTAACCTATACAAGAATCAGAGTTCAGCTGCATAGATACACAAACACAGATCCAACCCACATTCTGCAAACAATGGTTTCGGCTGAAAAAAACAAACAAACAAACAAACAAACAACAAAAAAAATTCAAAAAGTGCTCTACTATATCACAGAACGTCCGATGTTTTTAGCCCGTATGTGTGTGCGTGTGTGTGTGTATTTGTGCCTCTTTGCTTCTGCTGGCTCGCAACATTTCCCCAATCACATACCGCTTCAAGTGTCCACAACATTTCCACACTAAAAGAAATGTCAGTACCATGTGCACAACACTGCCTGATATTTGCATTGCATATGCAGTATTCAAAACATTCAAAGAAAAACGCTGGGGGCACCACACACTTGGTACCAATTTAAGAAATCGACATGTACACTGAAAAATTACTGAAAGAAGTCGTCAACACTTGACAATAGTAATACTACTTCCAAGCTTCTCCTGGTTTAAGGCAATGTGCTGTTTTATTTGCAAGTAAATCCTGCAAACAGTCAGCGTATGGCACAGAAAACCTTCAAAGACTTGTCTTCAGAAAGTGCTTTCCCATACCAGGTTTTTCGGCATTTTAGGTTGAGTGTGTGTCTGGGCTGCAGCAGATTCTGGTTTGGTGCTGCGTTGGACAGTCCCTCCAGTAGCTAGATCTGGGAACTCATCTTCATCCTGACAAACATGTAGAAAACATTTCAGCACTCACTCTGCCAAAAATAAGTCTATAATGACTGCTGCATTGAGGATTCATTACAATGAAATTCACAAAAAAACCTCTCTTACCTCAAAGTAGAGGGGCTCTGGGGTGAGCTCAGTGCCAGCGGTCACTGTTGGCTGTAGTCTTTGTTCTGACTGGTTGGGCGGCAAACGCCCTGTATAGCCACTGTGGAAATCCTGAAAGACAAAGTGGCATGGAGAACTCAGGAGTCAGACAGGTTACCACTGGTATTTGATTTGGTTTATTCCCCTCTGTGTATGTGTGCACATACTGTAGAGTGAGGGACGTAGGAAAAGACACAAGAGCGAAACATATGAAAGCTTGCAAGCTCAGTCACGCAGACAGCAGAAGCGGCTGTACGTCACTATTTCGGTTATATCTTCTTCTTCCTCATGACAGTTTCCAAATAGGTTGACTGTGAATGGCTGTTTGGTCTACATTTGTATGTGACATTTGACATTTAATGTCACCAGAAGTCAATAACAGTATGCTAATTATTCATGCAATTGTAATACTACATATATGGTTTAAATAAGTAGCTCGCAAAACTGTCAGGGTGTTATCAGACAGCAATTACATGACCCTCATTTTAGCCAATTAGGGATCCTAATATTGCATAGCACTTTTTTGTGAAGGCACTGCTGAATACCAGAATTGTTTGTCTGACATACAGCAGTCTTTTACTCAGTGTCTGCTCCAGAGGGAACTATTATACCTGTGAGAAGTTTCTCTGTTCAGGATTCTTCCTCTGGTCTGCTCTGTGAAACTGGCTGTTCCTGTCCCCCCAGGACTTTAAGGTAGCCTGAGAGGCTACATTTACCCAGGTACCTGCTAGTGAACAAAACAAAATCATAATCAATTCTCAGGTAAAAGACATCAGTTTACCTGAGAGACATCAATTAGAGACATCAGTTCAATCATCTGAATTTTCAAACACAAAATAAATACAAAATTCATTCAAACACACGTAGCATCAAACTTACCTGTCATTACACCAGCCTCTACTCCCTGCACAAGACATAACATATCGAAAGAGAGAGAAAACAAGTTATATTAAGATATCTAGTGCATACTAATTATTCTAATAACACAGTTAGGGCAAAGGTAATTTAAGATTGCTGTGATGTATGTTTAGATATTTGTTAGTTGCTCTTTCTGGTATTTCTGACTTCTACCATTGTTACTACAAAAAACTGCCATGCCATTCTGCAATGCATTTAAATGTTTTTGTGTGATAGACACTTTGAGCCTACAATTTAATTAAGTTCAGCTACAGTCTGATAACTTGCAAACATAATTTCCTATGTGCAATTACACAATTAAAAAATAAGAAGAAAAGCTTGTAGACATGATATGTAGCTGTTGCAGAAACAAAATTCTTTCAGTACTTTTGCAAAATGAAAAGGACAATATGTTAATGTTTCTGGGACATTTTCCACACAAATTCGTCTGCTTAGTTGGTTGTCACTCCCAGGCTGTGAATCAGCTCCACCAAATCAAATGTCAAAACCAAATCATTTCTGACCTTCTATTTTCCTTAACCATCAATAACATGACAGCCTACCTGCCTACCTAGCAATATTTTGAAATTACATTTATGGCATTAGCTTGGAGAAGGCAAAGCACTACCTGACAGGCTAAATTTCTGAAAGATTATTAGTTAAGAACTTTCAACTCCCTGACTTGCTATCTGCATAGCTATCTTTATTGTATGCAAGTTTTCAATGAGTTTCAAACCTCTTCCTCATCAGCACTACCAATTTGCCGATTATGGGTTAAAACAAATTCTACAGTTGACTTTAAGTCTGTTTGGTCTGGAGCTGATGGTAAGTAGACAACTTACAGTGGGTGCTGCTGTATTCTCTGCTGTCCGTTGTGTTACCCCTGTTGCCTGGTTGTGTTTGGGGCTACAGTAGCCACTGTCACTGTCTATATCTGCCTCACTGGCACCCTGCTCATTGTAGATTTCACCCGGATGGGACGCCCTTCTTCTCTTTGTTCGGTTCTTCCAAAGCAAGGGACTTGCCCGCTCAGCAGCACTCCGCCCCGACACCTCACCTGGGAAATCTGAGGACAAAGTAGAAGAAATTTAGAGCTATAAATAAACTTGTTAGAAAGTGTTACAAATTGGAATAAAACTGCTACCATCATCAACATATAAATGTTAGAAAATTGAACTATAAATACTGTAGTAGAATCATTTGAGACTAGTTGAAAACAAACGTGGACTAACTTTACTTTGAGTTAACTTTATGACATTGTTCATCTGACCCAAAACCACAGACTCATTAGCTTTCTGAACAGAGACATCATTGGTGACATCATGTTAACCTCTCCAACTGGAAACTCTGCATTCTAGTTCTTTCAGAAGTTAAACACAAGCATCATCAACATCAACCTGTAAGACCAGAAGCTGTTACTGGCATTGTGTTCTGTGTCTTCACTGATAGGAAAGATTCTTGTATGCAGGCAAAGCAGCTTACTTTAATAAAGTCTGGAATGTTTTGAGCATCAGCTTCCTTTCAGCTACAGGAATGAAAACATCACTGATGTTGGCCATAAACTCAGCTAGAAATTGAAACTCAGGATTTTCCCACTGCTAATAACAGGTTTCTATTTTTTTTTATTGTTTAAAAAAACCTCTGTACGACTTGAATATCTCTAATTATTCTTACCGGTCTGCTGTGCTGCATCCACAAGCATAACTGTCTTGGTCCTCCCATCAGGTCCCAAGGTGCACACCTCCTTTTGCACAGCTACACTTCGGGTTGGAGGCCGGCGACCCCTTGGAGGCTGGCACACACCCAACTGTTGCTGTAGGAAAAGAAAAAAGGGCTTACTCACTTAACAGATTGACAATGAGGAGGGACATTTTTAGTGACACAAATAACATATGACGACTTCTGTACCTTTGGGATACCATTAGGTCGGATCATGCCTCTCCCCCGCTGACTGGCCATTCCATATGCTGGACCCAGAGGCAGCGGCCTTTCAGTGACATCTGCTGAGACAGGGTTGACCACTCCAGCTTGCACTGGACCTGCATAGGTGCCAGGGAAGGGCTGGTAGAAGCCCATCACAGGTGGGCATGGAGCAGGCATAATCTGGTAATACGCGTAGTCATTGGAGACAGGAGGTTGGGGTGAAGACAAGATTGGGTAGGCCAGGTATGAACCACCAGGGCTGGGGTTAGGCTGCTGCCAGCGCAGCTCCCCTCCATTATACATAGGATGTTGCCTGTGAAACAGTAGAGAAGTAACATGTTAAATATAAGGAGTATATTCTACTCTTTCAACTTATTTTTTCTCTGCTAATGCTTTTGAATACTTTACTAGCAATTCTGGATTTCAATTTTCAATTAAAATTTACATCTATTTGGGTGAAATGTTTCATGTGTACTGCACTTTGAAAATGCTGGCTGGTGGAAAACATTTCGCCAAACTAAACTTTGTGAAGTGTCTTTGTGTACCATGAAAAGTGCTCTATAAATAAAATACATCATCATAATATTATTATTATTATAACAGAAATACACTCCTTTCCAAACGGTTATTATACAAAATACTACACAACACCCAAACACACAAAATATAATATGAAACCATAAAAAGGAAGGCTGTGACGCAGGTTATATTGTCTTAATACTAAGCAATTTAGCTGTCAAATATTATTTTAATGTACAGGTGCAGTATAGGTAATGTAATGTACTTTAGGCTAAGTGTGCACTGTGCACCTGTGTTATGTGGGAAAGTAAACGATTGAAATTATATATATATATATACACACACACACACAATCTGTATAGGCAGATACTAGAAGACACTCACACAGTCTGTTAAGAGAAACATGATTGTGACATCCTGAATTAATCATAACTTTTTTTTAGCTTTTGTTTTAGTTTCTCAGTTTTTATTTTCTCTAAACATGCAGCAATGACGAGGAGACTGATTAAAATGTGTTCCACAAAATAAGATTAAAGCCCCTTTAGCAAGAGAGAGGTGATGCCTGTGTATACATCTGTGATGCAGCAGTGATGTGCATGAGGGTTGCTTTGTTGGGGCGCCTGTAAGTGGTATGCAGAAATGTTGATAAGGATCCAGATGACATTTTCACAGCCAGCCTACTATAGCGAGCATTTCCTTGCATTCAAATAGTGGGGAAGGAAACAAAGGAACGGATGTGTGCAGGATACAGCAGATCACTTTGGACAAAGAAAGAGCCACTGGAAACATAGATTGTAGTTCCATGTAAACTCTAACTCTGGGGAGGTTTCCGTTCATAATTAAGCAGTCTTAAACTACAGAGCATCTAATGGTCTTAACTCAATACACTGTTTACAGGATCTGATTGTGATCTCTTTCGTGAAGCATAACATTAAGGGACACGGTGTTCTCTTCTTCTTCTTATAGTAAACAGTGCAATAAATGAGTTATTCTGAAAATAGAAAGATCTAGACAAGAGTAGATTGTTCTTGGGCGGTTCACAATGGGACACCCAACTTCCCACAATGCCAATGGCAAAATCCATAATTATCATAAGCCAGAACCACTGGTGCTATTAGCTCAGAGTTAAATGGAGATAAAACGACTGCTTTTAGAGAGTTTCACCCATTCCCAAATCTCTCCCCACTGTGACAAAGTAACAGTACCTGTTAGGTTGGTTCTCCTGGACAAAAGGGTAGCAGGTGATAAGGTAGCTGGGAATAGGAGTAGTTTCCACCCCTCCACCTCCACCGCCTCCCCCTATACCTCCACCGCCTCCTCCTCCTCCTCCACCTGCTTCTCCAGAAAGACTCATGCTGACTAGGGATCCTTCGAGACCTTTCTTCTGTGGGATAAACGGTTCCACTTCGGCTGAAAGCTTCACATCCTGCACAAAGACAAATGGAAAGCGGTTAATGTTACACTGTGAGCAACAGCAGCCAATTAATGACATGATGAATTTGAGTGAGAAAATTATATTTATCAAGCCCACTGTTTGACTTCTCTGTATCTACAAGGTACAACAGATCATCTTATTTTATTTTGCCACCCCACACCTATCAATGGCATAGACATTAGAGTACTGAATGTCTGACACAGACAGACAGAGAGAGAGCGAGAGTGATGCATAGTCTACCAGCAGACTGAACAACCTCTGATTTGTTAAGCCGTAATCACAGCTGAGCACTACATTTCCTCATGTTCCAGTTGGTTTACAGTCTTGAGTGTGTGTAGCGATCAATACAAAAGGTATGAGGCCTTAACATGAGGACATAAAATTTTTCTGAGTTAAATGATGATGTAACACACAACGTCCAGAGGATCTAACGTCTCATAAAACGTCTGCAGCCATTTTTGACAGACAATTTCTTATGTGACAAAGACATTTGCAGCTGGATAAACAGAGGTGAATAATATAAACAATGACGAGTTTCTTGTTAATATGGTCTACAATGAGGTGAGTGTCTGTATTCTTGGAACACTCATTTTATTCCTGCAAAACACTTCTTGAACAGAATGACAGGTAACCAGAAAACGTATCAATCCAAAGCACCACCACACAGCCAACAGTGAGGCTGTAGGATACAGAAGGCCACATAAAGGCCTAAGATTAGAGGTCTGGGGCTGTGGAAGGCAGGCTTGGGATTGAAAGACTGCAGTACTTCTAAGCTCAATCAGCCAACTCAGACAATGGTTCTGCAGAAAACTACAGATGCAGCCTCAAATGTGTATGATATGCTTTATCATGACACTAACTAGCACGCCTGTGTATCTCCTCAACAAATTAAAAGCAAAAAAAAATTTGAATAAGAAAACTTGTCAAATGTACAGTTGTGTACTATATGTAAAAACCAGAAACAGAGCAATGTTTTTCACACACTGTACTTCACTTAAAACCTACACAGATAGATAAGATTGGAAATTTGACTTGAGCTCTACAAAGCTATGCCCTTATTTTAAAGTTTAAAGTTTAACAGCAACACCATAACGTGTTTGTTACCGTCAGAATAAATGCATTAACTTTGATTTTAGACTCCTTACATGCTTGTCAGATGAAGTAAACCATTAGGAAATCTTCCTGAAAACGAGTAACAAACGCTGTGGAAAAAAATACATTTTCTCTTCTTTACACTGGTTTTACTTACCATGTAAAAGTGTTATTGCTATCATTCAATAAAACTTTAAAAAGTGAAGTACATGAAATGACCAATTTGTGGCAAGATGGCAAAAGAAAATGTCCTGTCCTTCACTGTCTTTTTCCTTTTTGCCCTCTAGGAGCATCGTTCATGCCTCTGGGTGCTCCTCATTTGACATTAAAATAGCAAAATTCCTCAAAACTGGCCTACTGTACATCTCTGAACTCTCTCTTTAACCAAATCACACACACATGCTATGTGATTTCCTTTTGAAAACTAATAATATTTTTCTCACTTCCATTCACTGAACCTCTGTTGTAACTATTTGGAGCCTCCCTGGGGAGGCTCACCTCCAAGTTTGAAAACCTCTGGTCTAACCCAAGGTGGCAGCTCTATCCAAGAGGTCCCATTAAAATAACCTGCTATGTTGCAAAGGATGAGGAGAGGTGACAGGGTTCAGAGTACAAAGACACCCCTCACTTCTCTCAAACAGTGGTTGGGATGCATGAATAGGGTGCAGCCAGTGGATGTTACACAGACAGAGCTATTGTCTCCCACTGATACTGGCTGTGGGTGGTTCTCTCACTTTTCCTTAGGTAATCTATAGATCCCATCCTATCTAAACATGCTCATGGTGAATAGAGTCTGTTATGCCAATTCAATAAAGTCCAAACTACCGTTGTAAAGAAAGATTTTTTTACAACCCCCAAAGGGAGTAATAGCAGCCTCCATGTCCAGGCTGATAATGGGTTTAGGATTACAGTGGTTGGTCTGATTGTGTACGATGGTAGCATAGCAGATAGGGTGTAGTTATAGGATTAAGTTTGAGAGGATAAAGTAAGGACAGTAGTAAAGGATAAGCTAATTATAAAGCAAGCTATAGCATGGAGGCCTCATGTGCACTGGTGGTGAATCTTGAATTCTGAACAATCCCAATTATTCATTTAAAAAATGGAAATAAAATTATAAAGCTGGTCAGAGAATCCATCTCTTGATTGAACCATTTGTGTCTTTGTGTATCTGTGTGTTGGGGTGAGTGAGAATAGCTGTGATTGTGAAAAAGGCAATGAGGTCAGAACCAGATGTGCATTCGTTGGGGATGACAGATCTCGCAGTGATAAGCCTGGGGGCTACTGATCTCACAAGCCTCTGTTTGTGTAAGCATTTATTCCCACACCAGTTGCTTTCAAACACTAGTATCTGTTTCTGTACTGAAAGCAGGGTGAGCGGTGTAGAAAGTAGACCATATGCATTAAAGCTTTTAAGAAGTTTCACATTTATGAAGACAAAACTGATAAAAATCACAACACTGGATTACACATTTTCAGGTGCAGTCAGCCACGAAATCTGAACACCATCGTTCAATGTGCCATTTTACAGGTTAATCTGAGGAAATGGCAAAACGCCTTGGCTCACAAAACGCAACTGCAACCAAACTTTGTGCAACAGCGTCAGAGGAATGCCATAAATGCTGAAGAACCAGAAGTTCCCCTTGTGACTGTCCACGAAACCTCCTTGCCTCTCCTGACAATAACAACACTCGCATTCACACATTCCTACCTGACTGAAACCGTGTTGTCAAGTCCACCTTTCCAAATTGTGACAAAAAAATGTATTACTGTAACAAGGTATCTGTGGCCCCGATCAAAATGACAATCACCGACAAATGACATATATTTAGCGTTGGCTAGCTAGCCGAGCTAATCGCTTAACAACACAGACTGTCTTCATGTGATTATCACATAGATGTCGTGGAAATAAATCTAGGTAATTTTGTAAAATGACCACAAACACATGCACTGCGACAGAAGACAAGAAATGCATTACGCGTTGTCTTTTATAATGAGCTGCGGTTACCGTTAGCTGTTTTCATGTTAGCTTACTAGCCAAATGGGATCAGTGTTTGACTGTCGTACCATACTAACATACTATCATGTTGTTGGTACAGCTAATCACCCAAACAAATAATTTAAGTCACTGCCAAGTAACGCTGCTATTTGTAATTATAATAACGGAACAGCTGCTTTTTTGAATAACGTTAACATTCAAATTGTGGGCCTCGGCTGAATAAACTAACGCAATGTCCCTTCTTCCACAGGCTAAAGCTTTAGCAAGACCCAAACAAAAAAACATTTATTTTAAAATGAACTGTACCTTATTGTCACTAACGTCCATGTCAGTCACCAACGCCGCTTCAGTCAGTCATTGAGCACACTGCGGACGTCAGGATGTGGACCTTTTTAATTTCTTCATTGTAAATAATAATCACTAAAGGCTTAGACTCACACCCAGTTCCTACTAACCGCTAACTATACCCCCACCGCTATCTGCTGCTGCGTCAGCTAACAAGTCTCTCCGCAGACTAGCTTGCTGCGAGTGAGCTAAACTGCTGTCAGTGTGGAAATGTGAGTCACCTGGGACGGAAACCGACGAGGCCCAGAAAGGCTTTTACTTACTGGAGTAAAAAAGCAGTACGTCATGGCTACATACAAATATTTTCAAGGACTTAATTAAAACAAAGAAAACTTTCCTCTTTGTCTCATTTATGCAAGTTCAAATCAAAACAGAGATACGATTTCTTTATGTCTCATTTATGACAAAAACATTTTATTCAACGTTGGAACTAGTCACAGGCAGCGGATTCCTTTTAGTGCTGAGAGAAATCTGTTTATTACCAACAGGCAACAGTATACATTAAAATACTGTGTACAAGTTTTCATATACATTTGGACTTTTTTTTTTTTTTAAACAACTGAAGCATTTGTGTTGCACATGGAAGGATCAGCCAATCAGGAACATGAAAAACAAAAATAAGTGTCGGTGATTTCCTCTCATCACGACAGAACAACACACTTTGAACACCTTCTTGGGGTTCCTCGAGTCTTCTTGAAATTGGTGGCATTCTCAAAATCTGTGCTGTGTATCTTGTCTCAGAGGATATACTTGAAGAAGCATAATTTATGGATGTATTAAAACATGCCATTCTCCTTGTCTCTTGATTTTACATGCCATCATGTGAGCTTGCTAACAATGGCTTGGTTGAGAGTGTTCAGCTGATTTGTCCATTTGTCTAAAGCTGTGTAACGAGCCCCTCCTCTCTTCTGGTAGTCGAGTTCTAGTAGCTGGTTGACTTGGTCAATTCGGCCGTGGATTGTGCTGATAAAAGGAATAAGTGAGTAAGTCACACATGTTGCAATATAAGAATAAGTAACATCTACAAAATTACAAGTCAGTGCATAAAAGCCAGTTCAATTTCTCCACATAAATTAGTCAAACTCTTGAAGTTAAGCTTTAAACTGTGTATCTGATCTGGATGCTAATTGTACTTTGGGATAATGCAGTAAAGAGAATAAAATATGTGGCATCACTTCTTGAGAATGCATTGTAGTTAAAATCTTAAATGATCTTGAGGATGCTATCCTTTTTTAAAATAACCAATAATCCCTTTAATGTTTCAGAGCATGATGTGAGCAATAAAGACAAGATAAACAATATAAAAGTTATACAGTGTTGACTTTATCTGAATAATCACTTTTACTTCCTACTAAGTCATTTACGTCAGAGAACCGGTACAGCTGGAATGTGAAGCCATAAATAGCAGATAGCTATTACAGCAGGACTATCAATTAAGTACAAGATGTATGTTACTGAAACTGACCATTCATCCTGCCTGACTCTCTTAAGAGTTTGCTGTCAGGGCCCCGAGACTCTGGAACAGCCTGCCCAAGGTAATCAGGTCAGCTGAGTCAGTGAACTCTTTTAAGTCCCTTCTTAAAACATACTTTTATAGGAGAGCCTTTCCCGATCTTATTTGACTTTTATTTTATTCTATTTTACTAATTTTATATTTATCTTAAACGTGTATTTTAGTCTTTTCTTTTTTTTATCTTGTATTGTTTTTTGGGTATTATTGTTTTTTGGGTATTATTGTCTTTACACTTGTTAAAGCACTTTGTAACTTGTTTTTGAAAAGTGCTCTGCAAATAAAAATAAAGATTATTAAGGGCCAAAGGATGCAAACTATGAGGAAGTATAGCTATTTACAGGAAGGGAGCTATTTTGTTTCTTCCACTTCTCAGCACACGTGTGAAGGAGAAACTTACTTATCCAAGATGCACTGCACCAGCAAACTCTCCACATCACACACATCAATGTTCAGCTCCTGAAACACAAGAGAAACAAGACTCATCCTCACATTTGTAAAGAAGTATGTCAAGTAGTATGATTTAACATTAAAGGATGCACAGAATTCAACACACCGCAGATCCCTTCATAAATATTATGTCTGAAGTGTTGCAAAAGACCCGTGGAGAAATTCTATCATGCAAGTATGTAATCTATAAAGTAAATAAATGCAGCAAATGGGTTGAAAAAACATTATCAGATACCATGTGTACATAAGCATTCGTGTCAGAAAATACCATTATTTCTTCCTCGTAATAATCATGCCCTTTTAGCTCCTCTTCTTGTGTTAAACTCATTTTAAGTAAGATACACCCTCAACTATACTTTGTGAACCTGTATACTTGAAAAATGATAGTGATAAAGAAAAACATGAGTGTTGGAAAAAAAATATAATTTATAGGAATGCTATTATTAAAAAAAAAAAAAAAAAAGAGAAAAATTAGTAAATGAAAAACTCCAGAGGTTAAATCTGAAATGTATATAAATGTTTTGTTCTTTTTGGATTTCATGTATGATATATGTTAAGGCTGAAACTGTATTTCATATGCTAATTAAGGTGATGTCTACTCTCAAAGTGCTAGCTCTTTACAGCCAGACCAAAGTCTGCAAATCAGTTGTTGCTTTGACACGTCTGCAAAATGTGATTCTCTTTGTTAACTATGCCTTTTTCTTGATTGATTGGCTTTAAATACAAATCAATTAAAATGGAAATAATCCATTTAAAATGATCCACACAAAGTCACAATGCCATCAGTAAAAATGATTATCTTATAATAAAGAGAGAATGTGATTAAAGAAGGACAACAGATAAAGTCACTGTACCAGATGTATTTTGATCACATGGACTCACCTTAGAAATGAATGGGATGTGTATTCTCGTGTATGGTTTGATGAGTTTGATAAGTACTTGAGTTCTAATGTTCCGCAGGAGCTCTGCAACACAACATCACATGATCAGTTACACTTAAAAATGTTTCATATCACACATATCATGCATGAATTCATGTTCACACTCACCCTCTATGTGCTCTCTAATGAAGGGGTCGTCCATTATGTTACTGTGATTTGTTTTCAAGATTTTCTCAAATTCAGTGATGTCATTGTTCTGGTAGGCGCTGGAAGAAAAAACAGTGAAGTGTAGTTATAACATATACATTGTGTCCTTGTGACCCACACAAAAACTCCCATCCTGATAGCTGTCAAACACATTCCAGTCCATTAGACATCTTGTAAACACTATTCTTATTACAGTTTTGGGTGTGCGATCTTAGTTTGTTTGTGCAATATAGATTTTAAATATATGCATGGAACCTGAAGCAATGTCATAACATGCCTGTTATTTATGTAAACAGGAGGACAAAAGAGAGCAAACAAAGAAGCAAAAGATAACAAAAAGATTTGGGAAGACAATAGTCATGTTCCATTCTTTATACTAAGACTGGGAAATATACACTAATGTTGACACTGTTTTGGCAACTGGTATAAATTATATTAAAACTATTAATGTTGTAAATGTATAATTTTGTACTAAGAGGAAATGAAACGAGGCTTCCATTGAAATATGAGAACATACTGCACACACACACTGCAAAAACTAAAATCTAAGTAAGATTAATTATCTTAATTGAAGGCAAAACATACTTGTTTTTTGTTTGAAAAGACATTTCTTCTTACCAGGTGGCTTTTATTTTAGAGAATTTCACTTGTTTTAAGTTTTTTTTCTTACCTTAAGTAGCATGTGAAATGTTCTTGTTCTGTTCTGATAATTCTGCTTATTTTAAGTAATATTTCCCCCATTTTAATGCTTTTTGTTTGTTTGTTTTTGAGAGCTATGTTTTTGCAGTGCAACATACTGTATACAAATGGGAGATGGTGATTGAGAAGCTGAAATACTGACCAAAGGCCATAAAGTAAAGGAATCTGGGTCCAAGGAATAGCTACCCATTCAAAGTATTATGGGAATAGTTTTCATTAATAGCACTCGGGTCCATTTTTATAGTTTGTGTCATCAACAATAACATTATCCTCACCGTGTCAAGTGCACCATGCCCAGTATGTCAAGGGCATGCTGGCACACACCAAGGGTGCACTTGAGTGAAATGTGAGATTCTGGAGGGTTCATTATCGCAAAGAATAGGTGACGTGTTAGAGACTGGTGACAATCACAGTCAATCACATCTCTCTTTTCTTTTCTTTTTTTAAAAGTTGTTCTCTCCTCACACTGACATACTGATGTTTAGTCATGGGATGAGTGGCTTTGCGTCTTCGTCATAAGCGGAGATAACGCGGGTGCATGGGGGCAGCTGACCCAGGGCCCAGGCTAGGTAGGGGTCCCGCTCCGTGGGCCATTAATGTGTGTCAGTTATTTATAGACACGACCGCACCACAGTCTAAACAGGCACTTCACTCCTGGTTTCAATAGTAAATTACCAACAAAAAACACTATATTCTAAGCAGACACGTTTAAAAAAACATAATTCATGAAGTAAATTTTGTATTTCAAACAAATAGGAGACTTAATAGCTAATTTTAACAAAACTCCCTTCACTTCCATGCATTATGGGAATTCTGTGGTGTAGACTTACGCTGCTGTATATCACCCCAGACTCACACAGGCGGTGTGTGCGCCACGGTTTAGTTCCGTCCTCAACTTCCATTTGAAGCCTACAGCCTGCCCCACGTTATTGACTTGTTCTTAATATGTCCTTTTTGTGCTTCTACTACCTTCTTCACAGCTCTCTGTGACCCACTTTCTTATGATGTGCAGATCCCACAGGGATCATTTCAAAATAAGAGCATTTTGCCTGCCTGATTTCGCTCACGTTTAGATTTTGTTGATTTAGTGATTAGTGCTTGCTTTTTGACCTTCTTACATGATTAAGTAGGCTACGTAGTTAAATTGCTTCTTTTTTGTCTGTTTTAACTGTATTGTTGATGTATATGATTGGGGGTCTGCACAAGGTATTTTATTTTGGCTGCGTATTCTATCCAGAGAGGAGTGGAAATACACTTCTGGTGTGAGCACAAGCATTGACTAGAGTGGCTGCGATCAGCTAGACAGATGGACGCAGGTGGGCCCCATGATGAAGCTCTGCCCCCACTGTGCTGAGAGTCTAGCTCTGCCCCCGGTCTTCATGATTAAAAGAGCCTGTAGCGACTCTGACAGACACCTAACCTTACAACAGAGTGCATGGGACAACCA